TAAGGAATTACTGTACTGTATTGCAGAAATCAGCCTTGAATTGCTTCGCCTGGAGAATTGTCACTTATATTTAACAGAATAAATAAACATATTGTTGGGGGTTGTCTAGCTACAGAGCCATTGCCTCACTTCCCAAGCCAAAGTGATGTCAGTAGGAATATTTTTTGAAGCATACAGAATTGAACAAATTGGTACCAAACAAACTGGAAGCAAAAAGGAAAGGGCTGAATATCTTGCCATAATACTGCAGTCCATTTTATTTTTAGTTTGAACTTTAGAAAATCTTAAACCTCCCCTTCAAATTACATCATTTTAAATTGCTTTATTGATAAGCTTTTTCCAAAAACTTACATGATAGATGAATTGCATATGATAAGTTCTGCATCTGTCAAATTTCTGGCTAGCCAAGATTTAAAAGTTCAGCAGGAGCTGAGAAGAAAAGCGTTGTTGCACACAGTCTCCTATGCTCCAATGTTACTCTTCATTCAGGAAGAGGACAACATATTTTCATAGAGAAGCCAAATAAAAACTACATTTATTGGGAAAAAAATTGGTCTGCTAGGTCCACGCTGTCTTCAGAGATTGCAACTGTGCATTTTCAGAGAACATATACCAAATAGGTAAGTAGAAGAAAAGACTTTTTTAGCAATAAGGATAATGATTTTTATTGTTATTAAACTGATTTTCCCTGAATTAGAAAGATAAAAATCCTTCTTAAGAAAGAAGTCCATGAATAATGATTTTTTTTTTAAACTTCCTGCTTCTCTAGCAAAGACAGGAAATATGAAATTCCTGCATGCTTAACAAACTTGTACATATCTTTCACGCATAAGAGAACAGGATTATGGAGTACGCACGATGTTTTCCACTTTTAACACAAGTTTAACTACTTCTGTTATCATATGGATTTGCATGTTTTTCCATGAATATCTGAAGAGACTTTATGGATAAAGTGAATAGGACACAGAAAGAAATCTAAACTATCCTGCATATTACTTATTAAAATTGCTGTTACAATATTTTGTATCTCAAAAATCCTGTAACAATTTAAAATTCCTTTCATCTTCTCAAAGAAGTCAGTGTTTCTTCCCTCATTCTATATAAGAAAGAAAAAAATATATATATGCCGATTGAGTCTTCCAGGAATTGTTCTAACTCTCATTTAAATAGATTGGGCCTGATTGGTTACAAGTGATTACACAGAAAATCTAGAAAGAGGTCCCAGTTTACACTATTATTAGTCCTACACTTTCACATAAGGCAGATATTCTAACAGAGGCTCTGAGTCGAAACTTCAAGATTTATTCTGACAATGAAAACTGTTATAGTAAAATATCATGAGGTGAATTTTCAGAATGGAAATCAATCTGGCCTTAAAAAAGAAATGTATTTTTAAACACTAATTTTAAGAATTCATCTGTTTTTTAATAGATAATGAGTTCAATAAACCCAGACAAGATGAATATACACAATTTTTAAAAACGGCATGAAGAAAGAAAAATTTAACTATATGAAGAACTAATGAGGATACAACATGAGAATTGTTCCATTATTTCATTTATTATGTCTTTTGTTTGAATAAACAAAACCACAATATTTCCCAGTATAAAAGAACAATAATTAAATACAATCAAATGTTACTAGAAAGATTTCTTTCACTGCAGATGGATGGCAGATTTCAGTTCTACATGAGTTAGAACATCCTGTTAGGATTCTGAAACCTTAGCCAGCACTGCAAAAACTATCCTCTGTTTTTCTGTACTGAAATGGTCTCAGTATTTTGAACAGTTAGTGTTAGCATCCATGTTATTATCACCACGTAAATGTAAAGGTATTGTCATTTGTAAGTGTTCTCTGCTTTCAAACAATAAGGTATCTTCAAGTATGGATATCACTAATGCTTGATTTGCTGGTATTTTCACTTCATAATTTTATAGCAAAAAAAAAATGCTATATAATGTAATTAATAGGATGAGCTTGGGGGGGGGGGAGATAGCTGCTTATTAAGTCTTTAATGATTAGCAATCTTTGGCCTTAACTCCAGAATTTCGTGACAATGAACTTAAATGTTAATTCATAGTTTATAACAGGATATCAGTTTGACACTTAAAGAATCCATCAATTTTAATGAAGTATTGACTCTCTAAACAATCCATAAAATTTGCCATAGGAGAATGAAGTAGTGATGCTAATAATTACTGTTTTAGAACTATATTTAAATGACAGAAGATTGAGTTTTGTACTTGATGTAAGAAAGTCAAGAGATTAAACCTGCATATATTTGTCTATGCTGCTGTTAAATAAGTAAGTAGAACTCATTTACTTGCATAACCTGATATAGCTCTAGTCTATTTACCAACAGCAATATAGTCACTGAGGTGGAGAGCTAAGAACAGGCTCAAAATCCAGCTGGGAACGTGGGCAGGTCTTTTTGCTCATTCATATTCATGCAAGCTGAAACATGGCTTTTGACAACTGTGGAGATATATCTAAACATTGTAAAACTTAAGATAAATTCAACCACATCAAAGAAATGAGATTCCTGTCATCTATAGTTGATATTGCTGGATTCAGCAGTAAGACTTTTTTCTAAACTTGGTCTTACTATATAGGGTAACAAACAATAAACCAGTCATTACATGTTACACAATCAACCATGCATCACAACAAAGCTGCTAGTCAAAAATTCACACAAGTGAAAGTAATATAAGGATGCGTCTGCTTAAAAGAGCTGGAAAGGTAGCTGCTTTGGATATTAAAATATTGTGTCTCTCATTCTATCAACACTGGAAAAAGGATATTTAAATAAGTCAAATAAAAATATAAATTAAGTCTTTGAAGAAAGCATATGAACATTGGCATGATATTATCTACATCAAGGGAGTACAAAACAAACCTTGCAACAGTTCTGTGACCCACATTTTCTTGTTTCCTCAATGATGAGGATGCTTTCTTAAGTGCATCAGTGTCAGGAGCGGAGATTTTTTCCTACAGTTCTTTAATTTTGCATATTAGATGAGATAAAAAAAAAAAACCAATGTGTTTGTATTTGGTTGGTTGGTTTTTGTTTCATTTTAATCTGCTTTTATTTACAGCTGTTTCATTATTTTCTTAATTTATGAAAAACCAAAAACAAATAGCCTCATGCCATAAAACTAGTTTACAACTGATGTTTCAGTTTATGAATGACAGATTTTTTTTTTTTTAATGGTGGAATGGCAGACACACTTAGTGATCCTTTGATGTATACAGTTAAAAAATATTTCTGAATAAAATTTAAGGTGTCTGCTCATTGACACTCCAGAACTCAAAACAAAGTTGCAGTAAATTATTCATTGTGAATTATTTGTTCAGCTCCATTCACTATACCTTTGGTTAACTTGATTACTACTAAACAGACTTTTCTGAAATATATATTCAAGGACTGAATCAAAAATAGAAAGGTAACCTCCACTGATACAATGAAATCTAGGAGGGCTTGAATTACAAATTCTTAATCATCCCTTTGCATGGATCGTATGCTTTTTTTCTTCCTCTAAGTTTTATTTGTGTTTTCGTTTCTTTTTAAAAATATATTATGTATATAAGTCAATGAGTAACTTACAAAAAGAATTTAAAACCTCCTGATTTTATGAAATAAAGATCCCTTCTAACTGTGAATTTTCTTAGTATGAGGTAAAGGTTTCTCTCTGCATTTTCAAACAGTAAATATAATGATGTTTTAACTTTAAGCTGAAAGTACATATTAGACAGCTCTGCCACAAGAATAAGAAAACTCAGAGCTTTGGAGGTTATTACAGTTGTTGACTGCACAATACCCCTATTTGTCACATTTTAAAGAATAATTGCTTTCTCGTAGGAGCAACAAGGCTCTTTCCAATTAACTTATATGCATTTTAAAAGAAAACTAGAAGTTCTTTTTGAAAGGAGCCAAGATATCTCCGTAAGGAAAGCCTGCTGCAGCTGGTTGCAACCTAGTTCAAGATGCTGCATTTAAACCTGTGGTTGTCTGTCATTGTCTTAAGGCTGACAGATCTGTCAGGAGTCAAACTTTTTTTTTTTTTTTTTTTTAAAGTCAGTTGTTTTGTCTCTGTTCTGAAAGATTTCCTCCCCACGTATATAATATAACAAGAGAAGACAACATTCTGAAGGTGACTCAAAATAGCAATTAAGAATAGTTTAATATTTTTCTCTTTTTTAAGCCACACTCAAACACACTGATTTCTTACAGTCACTAGCAGAAATGGAACTTTTATAATGTAGTGAGCCACTGGAATGCTGTTTACTGTAGGTTGTCTACAACACTTTATAGACCAAAGAAAAAGACAGACACCAATCCTGAATTCTATATGCCCTTCCAAACACATTTTGAGTGGAAAAAAGAAACAACCAGACCAAGAAAGAGCAGAAAACCTTTGTTCAATGTTCCACGTACTCAAGCTCTTTAATTTTAATATTTTTGAAAAATATTATAAAATGCTGTCGTGATGATTTGACTTTTGCTAATAGATTCTATATATACATTTTTAAGAGCACTGGTAGTAAGACTTATTAAATAAGCAGATCATTATTAATAAAAGATCATTAAGGTTTGAAAAGACCTCCAAGGTTATCCAGTCCATCTGTCCACCTATGACCAATACTGCCCACTAACCATATCCCTCAGTACTACATTTACCCGATCCTTAAATACCTCCAAGGATGGTGACTCCATCATTTCCCTGGACAGCCTATGCCCAGTCACTCTGAGAAAGAAATTCTTCCTAACATCTAACCTGAGAAAATTATGACTAAATATGTCCATTAGCCATAGTTCCTTTTTCTTTTTTGTTTTGGTCTTGTATTAAATGCAGAGTTTGGTGGCCCTGCCTGTGGTGCGGGGGAGGGGGGGGTAGGGTGGAGATTCATGATCTTTGAGGTCCCTTCCAACCTGGACCATCCCATGTGTAATTCTATGCTGAGAAGTTCCAGATGGGACACTGCTCCCAGTTTGAATGCACCTGACACAGAGAGAGAATGAGATCTGCATTTCCTCGATCATACAAGCAGCCCCTGGAAGAGATATGTTGAAGGATCAGCAAAACAAGTGTGTTTGCTAAACTGCTTCGGCAGGTGCTGTTGATCAGTATTAACTTAATCATGGCCGTTTCTTGAGGGCTGCTGAAATCACTGTGTTCCTTCCTGAGTCTGCAACCTGCTGGGAGTGACTCTGTCTCTGTGTGGGGCTGGCTGTGCTCCTGCCTTCTGCTCTGGGCAATGCAGTTTGCACCATGACCCTGCTAATAATCCAGTGAAATAGTTTGTCACTTTGGCTTCTGAGTAATCAAGAAAAGATGAGCATGCATTTTCTGCCTAAGGTACATACTGTATGTGTTCATATTGTTCACTAAGATTGCTTATTTAAAAAGTATATAAGCATCTTTTGCTTCTAGGTTTTGGGTTTTTTTTTTCCCCACTTGATAAAGATTTTGTGGAAGCATTAACAAAGCTGCTGTCAGTTACTGACTGAATCTGTGTTTTGCATTCTGTTTCCAACTTGGCACAAATCCTAAAATTAATAAAATGATGTGGTACTCCTCCTAGTAATTAAAGCAAGATGATTATTCTACAATGATAATCCTCTTAAATAGTGAGGCATATAAAAAAATGGAAGGATAATTCTTTGCTTAACAATGAGTATATTGGTAAATAAAAAAATAAATTAGTTTTGAATTGATAAACAGGTAATCCTGTTTGTTTTAGTCAGAATAATGAATCTCCATTCGGGTAACAAATGAGCATTTGGCTTGTGACCCTGAAGATATAAAGTGGAATTCAGATAGTCCATGTGTTCTGAAATGACTGTTTTATCGACTTGCTGATTCTGAGCCTAAAGCATGTAGCTAAGGATAACAATCTGTTTCATCCTTCTGACTTCATATGTTCTGATAAATACTAAATAAATAAAGGGGTAGAAAATATTTCATTTGGAAATCTGTTTTTCTTTTGAACTCCTAAAACTTGTAGTAGAGCTGACTATACTGTAAGTGTTACACAGATCATGGATATTTTTTTTTTTGCAAATGTATATTTGATGCTTGTTTTTATCTTACGTGAGCAGAACAGCTTTCTTAACACAAGCAAAATTACCTCTAGCACAGAGGCAATCAGCCTTAGGCATGAATATGTCTCAGAGGTAAGCAGCCCTCTGGTAGAGAAGGAGATGAAGCTGCCACTGCGGCATGTCAAGTATATGCATGCATCCAACCACTTGGTTTTAGCTAGGGAAAGTGTGGCAGAGAGAGTATTAAAGGACTTAGATCCATGTACCCAGCTCATGCAGCTCACTATGTTTAGGCTGGTCGTTGTGGGGGCAGTAAGAAATTTCCCTCTCCTTCATGTGTAAACAAGATGGCAGAAGTTAAAATGAAATAAAATTGATGGGTAACAGGCAAGTGTTGTTTGGCAACAGCAGTATTCTAATTACCAATCGTACTGAGAAACAGGTGAAACAGGTGAAAAATTCATATTCAAACTAACATAGCAGGAGCTTTACTACAGAACTAAAGAGAATGAGTTTATCCCTAGCATAGCATTGCCTACCTAAGCTTTAAAACTTTTCCTGTTCAACATAAAAAAAAAAAAAAAAGCAGAGATCACTGCTACTTTCTTACAGCTCTATTTTGAAAGTAAAAGGCAATACAGTGGGAGACAGTCAAACTGTCACCTGGAAATCTACGCTTACATATCTATCATTTCTGTGTAGCTATTCTTTCTCCTTTGCTTATCTCAGATTACTGCCTTTGGAGCAAATGAACACATTTGTTCTATCCATTCTCAGCTGAAAAATCACACCTAGACTTTATTCATACAACTCTAGAATATGTTAGAGTATGTTATTCGAACAACGATGTTCAAGTTCACACAAAGCAAGAACAGATCACCTAAGAAACCATAACCTAGAAAATCTCCTGAATGCTGAAAGATCTTATTATAATTCCTTATGCTGTTCCTCACTTCTGAGCAGATGTTTCTTCAAAAGTGTGAGTGCGGTTTGAACACAGAAATGGACATACTGTCTCTCAACAGGACTGACTTAATCCAATTTCTGATGCTATTAGCACTGACAGCTTTTAGAGGAGCAGCTGTAGTTTTGATTTGTGTTCTCAAAGAATTTGCTCTATCAAGGAACATTTCCAAGTATGACAGGACACACAAAGCCTTCTCAAAAGGGATCCCTTATGAAGCATAAAATGATAGGATCAAGGGATTACAGGTGTTCAACACATTTCTATTTTAAGACAATATACAACTTCCTGGATTCTTAACTACATTTTGTCTATTCCAATCAGTCATAAACTCTTGAAAACATTCTCAGAAAGGTAAGTAGTGGGAACTTCATAGGTGAACTGCTAAGGGAGCAATTAGATTGATCAACTTTATATAAGTAATTTAGTTCTGTATTTAGATTCTGGCAAAGAGTATAGAGGGCTTAAATGTTTCCATTAACACTTCACCATACGCATTAAAGACTAAAAAGCTACTGCTTATTTTTTTAACTAAGTAAACTTGACAATTATATTGAAAATTACAGTGTATCAATGGTAATTCCTAAACCAGAGAAGAAGAATAGTCTCAATAGGGTACATCACTTGCAGCTCCCTATGATCACTTTTAAAAAGATAAATCATAAAGCTGGTACAGTAGTATGACTTACAGGTCAGTGATAGGAGGCCTTGGAGATAAGTTATCTTCTTCATAGAAATCTTTCAGGGAATACCATGTCACTATTACAGTGCAATAAATCCAAACTGAACTTGTGTGAAGACCTACTATAGAGATTTTTACTGTATAGAGGTTATAAGCAGTAGTGCTTACAACATCATTATCTTATGGTCTTCGGGAATACCAACCTCTAAACAGCTTACATTATTCCAATTCTCTTCACTGAAGATATATAAATAATACTAAGAGGCTTTGTTCAATTGATCCAGAATCAAATGGGAATAATTTATGAGATTATTTCTTTACCCTTCAAGTAAAGAGCTGCTTAGAGAAACAGTCTTTAACTGCCTCTTTGTGCAACCTTGACAAATTCATGTTTCCGTGATCTCAAGAATTTTTTTGTTTCCCTACTCCAAAATAAGGCAGAAAGACCCTCAGGTAGGCAAACACTAGAAACTAAGTTTAATGAACCATGAGTCTAGATGAAGTAAGCTACAAAAGTACTTCCCAGAACTTTTTGACACACTTGTGTTCTCACCTTATTCTGTCACTCAGTGTGACAAATCCAAGACTGGTTTGTGGATCTGGACACGATAACATCTTGGACATACTTCCTTACTGAACCCAGAGAGGTGTTTGCTTCTAATAAGAGAAAATTTATTTTAGCCTTTCCCAGAGCACAACACATCTTTTCTTTACTTACATTTTGCTGTTACCAACAAGGCTAAAAATTGATGGGACAATCTGTCTTCTGTACAACTAAGACCAGCCATCAGACAAAATTTGCAATAGCAATAACAGACATAGCAGATACAAAAAAAAAAAAAAAAATACAAAAACAATAACTTAAAAAAAAAAAAAAAAAAAAAAAAAACCCACAACAAAACACACAGGCACTGTAGAGCAATAGCAAGCAATAAAGGAAAAAATAAATTGGCTCACTCAATAACCAGTGACAACTTCTGAGAAGTACAACTTCCATCTGGAAAAACACTGCTTTATTAGCTGTTAGTCCTTAAATGAGCTTGAGAAGAGGTGGATCCAGGCTCTTTACCTTCTGATCATTCAGGTGTATTGCTTGCACCTGAGCTCACTGGGTTAGCCACACCTTCCCACCTGGTGCTCAAGAATTGGTTTAGGCTGTGACCTGGCAATTCCACTGCACAAGAGAGAGCAAGCAAGGCATTGCAGGATTTAAGGCCTAGTATTTTATCTGGTAAACTGTCATAAAGGATGAACACAATATATACGATAGTATACTAAAAAGTAATTATAACTTTGAGGTTTTTTTTTTTTTTTTTTTTTTAAACTAAGGTCAATATGAAAAAAAAAAAAAAAAACTTTGTCCAAAATACACATTCTGATTTGTTAGAACATTATTTGCAACTCTTTGATGTTATTCCAGAATTGCTGTTTTTCATTTTGAATGCTTCTTTGTAAAATTTTGGCGTATTGTCTGTCTATAGGTTTAGTTACAGTAACAGATCACAGGCTAGAATGACAGTAAAACTGCAGTCTCAAAATAAAAGAAAGTCCACCCCATGCCCAGAAGAAATTATTTTTCCTGGATGAATGCTTCAGCAGACTTCCCAGTGGTACCTCCTCAGGCTGCTACTGCCTGCTAGCACCGCTGAACTTGTCAAGTGCTATTGGGAAATGTCATAGATTTCTTTGACTTCTCCTTGTTCAGATCCTCAACAGGAGAAGACACTTCATCTAAGATTAAACAGTTGTTCCATACAAAATTTCTTAATTACTAGAAAAAACAAAATAAAAACAAAACAAAAAAAACCTTGTGATTTGCCATGGAAACTAGGTTGACATCCAGTGAAACGATGTTTAACATGTAGTATGACTGAATCCCTTGCTCCTATTCTGATCAAGATGGAAAGTTTGATGTGAGACATAATTGTAGAATATCTCTTAGAAAATCCTTTTACATGACAGCCTTGTTAAATATCTTGTTTTGTGGTACATTCTAAAGGTTTTAAGTTAACTTTTTGGCTTTTTTATTTCATGTTGAGAGTTTCAGAAGGAAGAGAAAATAAGCAGTCTGTGAAGCTCCAGATCTCCTTATTCACTAAATAGTTGTATGTGATAATTAGTTAATTTGCTTGTAATTCTGAATATGGGCAGCTGATATATCAACCAGAACTGTACAAAACAGAATGACATATTATATATACATATATATATATATTCTAAATATATATAACATATAACATCAGAAAATACAAAACCTAATAATAAAAAAATAAGAGAAAAGAGATTTTTCAGAATAATAATTAAATAAATAAATTTAAGGGTGAATCTGTCATGAGTCAGGTTCAAATCAGATATCAAAGACTTACATATGTATTTTATGCTAGCAAATGTGCTTGGAAATGAAATGTATCTATAAGAGTAAATATCAAAAATGATTCTATTAGCATATATGAATAGGAGCAGATCTATAGAGAGCAAAACTGTTAAATACGAGTATTCACACTAAACAGAGTATCAATATCTTCACTCTACGCTCTGTCTGGATTGCCATGGAAATGTTCCTGCAGCCCATCTTCTGCTGAGGTTTTCTCTTGGAGAAATTCAGAACATGTACCCTAAAACATCCCTTATGTATTTTTTCTTGTCTGACTACTCCTGGAGATACTGCTTCAGAAATTTAATCTCAATCCAGATTAACATGATGATACACTTTTTGTGTTTGCAAAAAACCACTAAAATAGACACTGTGATACCTTTATTTTCCAGTATTGTGAGTTACTGAGGCTCAAAATATAAAACCCTCAGACTGAAGGGTTTGGGAATATTGTCATTTTTTATTATTTTTAATTCTTAGTGTTTTTCTCTTATTCTTTCAAATATTATGTGAATTATATGCTCAGTGTTAAGCAATAATTTCATATATCATGAATATTTGTATGAGTAGAACATGATCTGTGGAAATTAAGTTCAAAAATACTAGAATGAATGAAGTCACTGAGATTAATTCCGAAGAAAAGGAGAAAATTCTGATTGATACTGAAACAGCCTTAAAATAGTTTATGGTACTATCCTTACCAAGCAGAGTTGCCTAAATTAGTTACTATGCTAAATGTAAAAAAAAAAAAGGATACCTATTTAAGCATAACTAGTGTAATGCTATGGATGTGCTACCAAAATGTCTCAGAAGAGCATCTGGAGGATGCTTGTGGGGAGCATATGTATGAGCTTGAAGAAGCATATGTATGAAGTGAATTTTTTTGCAGAACAGATGTCAGATATGTTGAACTGTGATACAATGTAGATCGTTTTATTGGCTTCCTTGTAAGGGACAGTTTTTAAAAGAACACTGACTAATCTCTTTTACTTTCTTGTACATCATCAAGGGAGAGAGATAAGTCAGTGACCAACTTCTTGAACGGATGAAGAACTCCTTCGAGGTGAAGGGAGGCCAAGAGAAAAAGGCCACTTTCCTTGAGGCAAGGTAATAAGAGGTGGGGGGGGTATCCAATCATGGGTTTGGAGGACGTTTTTTTAAGCTCTTGACAACGGAGCCCTTGACATTTCTCTTTTTCCTTTCTGAGGCCCTGCCTCCCGGAGGGGAAAAAAGAGGATGAAAAAACTCATAGGAAATGTAAGTGATCTTTATTGACCTGTGACTTTTGTGTAACCATGGCCTCTGGCATGTGACTCAATGTGCATTTCTTGTCAAAACAGGTAAGGGAATTGTGTGCTGCCCTGAAGGAATGTATAGTGTGTGTCTGTACAGTGCTGAAAGGCATAAGATTGATGTGAGGGCTGAGGTGAGAAGAGGAGGATACAAGAAAATGTGAGAGGAAAGAGTGATTATAAAATCAGTTATTTTTTGTTTCCTCAGTACTGACAGCTGATGGAGGATTCTCAGAGTTATTGAGGTGTTCTTTTTGTTTTGTTTCGTTTTTCTAACCCAGTATTATTCTTGTTTTATCACTCAATGTGTGGTGTGTTTTAGCAGTGGTGATGGTTGCAGTAGGTCACATCTGCCTGTGCAGATTTTTACGAGTGCAGCATGTAGTTCATCACTGCATCTTGTTCATCACTGGCACAAATGCATGGCCAATGGTAGTGACTATGCTGAAAAATAGTGTTTTCTACCTGAGAATTTGCTCTATCAAACAGTGTTCTTATGTTGTTTGTATCTGTTGCAGTTTCCATGGAAATATGTAGGAGGCACTACTTCCAGAGTGACCGATGTAAATATCTGAGTTATACTATACCTTTTGGATTGAAGAATGAGAAGAGAGCATTTGAAGGAGGATTTTAGGAACTAACTTGAAAAAATGAAGCTTATGAATAACATTAACACAGGAGTTTTATTGACCTTTTGACCCTTTTGAACGAGTATTCTGTGCACTACTTTCTGAGATTAGTTGACACATTTACAGACCTTGTCAAAGAGAAAAGGAAAGAATGAGAGTGGTGGGAGGGGAAGACAGTTCACTGGTCCCTGATGTAATACCATCATCCAATCCCTGTGTGGTTATTTTCTCTGGTCTCACTTCATAGAAACATTTCACAGAAAAAGACAATTTCTCCTTGTGTTTCAAGCTGACTCCTGCTCCCTTGCATCAGATTTACCTAACTGTTTCATCCTGGGAGCAGCAAGATCAGACCTGAGAGCTCATGTCAGCAGCAGCAGTCTCTCTGCCAGATGTGCCTATGGGGCAGAGAACAAAGTGTTTGCAAGCTTGCAGGGGCTTGTTTTCCATCTCTCAAAAATGCTCACTTCTGAATAGCTGACACTAGCAGCTCTACTAAAGTGTCCCACAGAACAATCAATCTGAATTGTAAAATATCCCATAAAACTGCTTTGTTCCCACTGGTATTGCCCTCTGCCCCAGAATTCAAACCTAATTTGAAGAACACTTTGAGGAATGGAAATTCAAAGGAAGTTTCAGCACAAATATATTGAAGACTGATTTATAAATCACAAAGGGTGCCCTGCTTCAGTGCTCACCCCATCTTACAGAATAGGGCACTCTGGGTTTTGTGCCTGTATACTTCATGAGCACATGCTGCATTAGGTGCTTCAAGGTAAGGTATGCAAAAGGCAATGAAAAAGGAAAAAAGAAAAAGAAGGGAAAAGAAAAGGAAAAAGAAAAAGAAGTTATAAGAAAAAAAGTTATTAAAAAAAAAGAGGGCTCAGGTGTGAGTACTGCACGTAAGAGCCTGTAAATCCCTCTCTTCCAGGTAGGATGTACAACTGATAGGCATGTACTGCAGTTTGGTGAATAACCCACACCACACTTTTCTCACTAGAGTGAGAAATATTTAGGGATGTTGTTCATTTATACTTAGTGAATACTTAGGGATGGCTGTTTACTTTACAAAATTAGTAGGAGCTTTTACCTATATTAACAATCAGACTTGATTCCATGAGTTGAAACTGGGATTTGGTGTTAGATCTCCCACTTCTCATTTAAGTGTACTAAGTATTGGCTTACTCGGAATTCCGTCTCTCAGAATTTCTCTCCTATTATAACTATTCCATTTTTTGTGTAAACAATAAAATATTAATTAAGCTAGAGGAAAAAGAAAGGAGGCAAGATTAACTCCATAGCCTAGTGATTAGGGCAATCATGTGGGAAAGTCAGATTCACGTCCTTCTTCACTCAATTATTTATACCAAATGGAATAGTGTCAGCTGGAGAGAGTGAAAGATTTACCTCTGACCACGCTATAGCCTAATGGTTACAGTAGACTCTGAGGAGGTTGACAAACCAGACTTAAATCCCTTTGTCAGTCAGAACAAGGGAGGGTTATGAACCTCGTTCCACAGGAACTAGCTACTAAGCTGTATTGCCTGATATTTCAGGTTTGTTTATTAGGTTACTTTGGGAAGTGTTCGTATAGATAGGATAACCAGAGGAATGTTTGGGTTTGTATGTGTGTGATGTGTAGTGGTGTTTTTTGTTTTTGGTTTTGTTTTGTTTTTGTTGTTGTTGTTGTTTTCACTATTTTAATATAACTGCTGACTAGGAGGTCTTGTCATACGGTGTTTATATTATACGGTAGATAGACCTGTTTGTTTGATCCAGGAACAA